TTGTATACAAAATTCCCATGTATGTAGGAATGTATCTCTGAATTCCCTGCCTTGTTCTCCTGACTTATTTGACTATCCTTTTGTTGATAATTGATTAGATTACATTTGTGTAGTAGCCAGTAATGAGGTTTTGGATGCTCAATAAATACATTTTGATATCCTTTATGTTTGAATATCCCACACAGCCAAAATTCATTCTCCAGTATCCCTCACTCTTTGGTAGACATAGAGAAGGCCTCGCCTCTTCCAAACACAGACTAACGAAGGAGCGAGGTAAGAGGAGACCTGAGCAGAACCCAGTTGTAGACCATGGGTTGGTGGCCTGCAGCCGTGCAGAGGCAGCAGGGGTAGGGCTCAGGCCTTCAGTCCTGAGTGTCCTCATGGGAGCTGGTGAGAGGACCGTTGTTACTAGAGCAGCCTCTGAACGTGGCTAGGCGTTATTCCTGGCAAGGTAAGGGCCTGGATCTCTGGTGTGTCCAGACCCCTTTTCAGCTTAAACTAGCCAGAGGGAATCCTAGTTTTACAACTATGAACGCTGACGGATACAAGTCGTTTTATATTTTATTCTGGTATCTGGTATTCGTAAGGCAGGTTCCCTGCCTCTCTCCTGATGCTGCCCACTACTTTGTCTTGATCTTTTTCAAATTACTTGTTTCCATAATCTTCGAGGTACTTTAAAAAATCTGTTGCATTCTAACCAGAACTGAATTCAATTTATATATTAATTGTGGAAATACTGGCATTTTTATTTTCCAAATAAAGAATGACACAGCTTTTCATGTGTTAGATTGTTTCTGTCCTTCAATAAGACTTTACAGTTTTCATTTGGTCTTGTGTCTTTCTTGAAAAATTTACTTCTAGATATAATATTGTGATGTAATTGGACTGTTTTCCCTCCATTTCCTTTTCTAGGTGCTTATTCTAGTCCAGAAAATTTTTATGGTTTTTGTGTATCTGCCACTTGAGTGTATTCTCGTCCTAATGCTCATTGCTTTTTATTAGACTCGCTTGAGTTTTCAGGTATACAATCAGGGGGAAAAAAAGATAATTTCCCTCTTCTTTTCTGATGTTATACAATTTTTAAATTTTCTTATTTGTTAATAGCTCTCCAAGACAATGTTGACCTGCCTTGCACTGATTGTAATTGAGATGACTTTAGTATTTCACCTATTTTTTTTTTTCAAATCTAAATTCAGAATGGTATTGGATCAGCATAGTGTCATGATCATATACTTTTTCTGCTTTAATTTTGTGATGCAATGAAATATGTTAATAGATTTCCTGACATTGGCCCACACTTGCATCTTTGATAGGTGTTTTATTGTTTTGATAAATTATTGGATTTAATTTGCTAATAGAAATGCCACCATTCCTAGTTCCGGTGCTGAGGCAGGTTTCCTTCCATGTTTCGTTATTGTGGTCATTTCACTCTTGATGAGAAATGGGAACAGCTGCGACTTTTTCAAGTAATCCCATAATATTTTTTAATTATTAAAGACAGTTTAGGGCCGGCGCCATGGCTTAGCGGTTAAGTGCGTGCGCTCCACTGCTGGCGGCCCGGGTTCGGATCCGGACGCGCACCGACGCACCGCTTCTCTGGCCATGCTGAGGCCGCGTCCCACATACAGCAACTAGAAGGATGTGCAGCTATGACATACAACTATCTACTGGGGCTTTGGGGGAAAAAATAAATAAATAAATAAAATTTAAAGACAGTTTAGAAGAGAAAGAAATCACTCATAATTCCACTATTTTAAATTACTAGCAGCTCTTGCTGGTTTGCCATAAACCCCTTTGCGGTGCTTGGCCAAGTCCGCAGCCCCTCAACACACTTCACCAGGAAGTCTCACCCTAAGCAGGGCACGGGTTGCTCTTCTGAATCCAGGGGGCAGCTCCTGTCTAGAAGAGAGCCTCGCCACCCCCTTCCTCATGGAAAGGCTGCCACGTGGTGTGCGCTACAGAACTCTGGGGGCACCATTCACATTCAGAGACATTGTGCATATTTGTATTTATTCCAGTAATTTCCCAACAGATGTCAGTGGAATGAGGAAGGAGCGCCAGTGGGGCTGCCTTGACACCTTTCTGAGACCAGGCTAGATGTTACCTGGGACCCTTAGCCAGTTCTGGCACCAAGAAGGACCTGTGCCAAGTGGGGCATCTGAGAGCAGCTATTTTCATCCATGCCTTTCCCCCCTTGATCCTGTTACCAAACAACAGAAGTCAAGCTCTCCCCTAATATCCCCCATTGGTAATGTTCTATTTCTTAAGCAGAATGGTGGTTTCAGAGGCGTTCATTTTATTATGCTTTATAATTTATGTACATGTTACATCCATTTTGAATGCTTTGAGACAACAAATAAAAAAGAAAAGCACACATATACAAATAACAATGCCATTATCATGGAGATGACCTTGAATCTGCTTACATCTTTCTTCAAATTAGTCTATTCATAAATCTCAGTACTGTAACTATTATTAGTTAGCAAACATCTTACAATGCACCTCATATACCTGTCTTGATGCTAGGGTTAGAAATCATTCTGTTAAAGTATTTAGAAAGAATAGTAATGCTTTTTTTTTTTTTTTAAGATTACTTTATACACCAGGTAATTTTTCTATTGAAACTTGCTATAATCTATATTTGCAGTATTGGTGTGATAGCAGGCTACTCAAGTTTCTTTCAGCCTTTCTGTCTCTAGAATTTAAAGCAGTCATTGAGTGGCAGAAGTTTCCAGAATCTATTACCTATAAGTTGGAACATCATTAGTTGCTACTCTGAGCAGCAGCCAAGAGATTTCAAAATTTCTGCTCAGTTGGAAAAGCTAAAACCTGACCTTAAAAATGATGCTTGGGTGCAGGATATACATAGCGTCTGTCAACCCTGTGATAGAGACTGCCAGCTGTGCCCGACATCCAATTCTCTGCTGCTTCCTCAGTATGAATCCTAAAATGTTAATTTGGCCCGACAGCACAGAATAAAGACTATTATTTCCCATCCCCCTTTGTAACTAGTAGGATCAAATGATTTAGGTATGGGTTGATAAGACTATGTGGTGTGAATAACTCGTAAGAAGAGTTCTTAAAAGAAGGGGCCAGAAACGTTGATAGGAGGTTTCTAGCTGGTGCAGCTGTCTACAACCAGCACATGAAAGTCACATGCTGAGAACAGGGAGGGGCAATACAGAAGGAAGCTGGATCCCTGACCCTGGGTTTTCATAGTAGCCCTGGACTGCATTCCCAGACTTTTTACATGCAAGAGAAATAAACTACCTTGTTTAAGTCACTACTATTTGGGGACGCAGCCAAACTTGAGCCTGATTTCCTTAACCTAAAGGTTGATAGAAGTGCTATACTGCACCTGGTGGCAGTTATACCTATTGCTAAGATGATGTAAGATGGAAGCTGTTTCCCATAGAGAGCATTGTGTGTCACAAACAGCGACATTTTCAGAGGGGCTTATCTCCAAATATTTGACTTCCCACTGGTAAAGCCTGCAAGTGCACTCATGGTTTTAGAAAGAAACATCAAGAACATCAAAGAGTGAATTGCCTTTACACTAGCTTAGAATGCAAAATGACTGAGAAGTCCCTTCCCAGAAGAGAACTATAACGAGCAATTTAAACAAAACAAAAATGGTTTGTTTTATTTACAATACTCAATGCATTTTACAAATAACATATTTGCATTCCCTAAGTCTGTTGGAAAGTAATTCCAGTTTGTGCAATGAGTTTACAGGAAAGTCTTAAGACATCTATTAGACATCTTAAACTTAAATTCTAAATTTTGAAAGATATTTCACACTATATTAATAAAGGACCGTTTTCAATTAAGAAAAACTAAACTCTGTAGTTAAATATTGCCCTTCAATATCTTTAACCCAAATACAAACCAGATCAGCTTATGAAATAATACCATTAGATTTGGATGAATTCTTTTCCACTGCCCCCAACCCCAATGGAATGCATGCACAAGGTAAACGTGGTAAATTACGTTCACGACAGTTTATTTCAGTACTCTTTTTTTGGACTCTCTCAACTATTGTTTTACTCAATCGAGGGTATGGATAGGTAGGATCCAGTCTGGGGACATCCTAAACCCCAACTCCCTGCTCCAGAATAGGGAAGGATTTCAGTAAGTATGTGGAGACAGGTCCGGATTGGGGAGATTTTTAAGTAGTTTTTCTAGGAGGCCTTGTTTGCTAATCAGAACAAGTTTTCCCTCCAGGCCTGACAAAGCCTAAAGGGACCAGTTATCAGAAGCATCTAATCAAAGCCTCCAAAGGACAACAGGCTCCTCTCTTCCCTCCTTCCTGAATCTCTATCTTGATTTTAGTGCCTTCTGAAGTCATGATGGAGAACAGTTCCTGTGTTCAGATTCCAGAAACTGTTTTAATGTCACATAAAGATCTTTTGCAACAGGTCAAGAGCAATGAACAACGATACTTTAATTGGGCAAGAGTCTGCACCCCATGAGTGTGAAAGAGAATAAATTTATTAATTTTATCACTCATAGCTGTCATCTCTTAAAACATAAAATCCATGTCCTAGCTCTTGAGCCAGAGAGAAGGGACAGTGGTATCTCCATACTGGATTCACCCCATCTTAGCAATGCACTTCTCCATCTCCACCCTACATCTCTCCTCAAAAGACAGTGTGTCTAACACTTGGTGAAGGTGGTTGAATGGGACATACTAAGCTGGAGAAATAACGTCCAACATTTCACATAGCCAACAAAATTCCAAGATAAAGAAATGGTGAGGTAGAGTTGAGAGAGTTCAGTTAAATTTTTTGAGTGTAGATCTTTCAGCACATTCTAAAATTACAGACTCCCTACTGAATTCTCCTTTGTGATACCTTTACAAAGTGCTGGAAACTTAGGAATCCTTGGATCTATTTAGGAAACATCTATGTAAAGCTAACAAAATATAGTCATTTGAAGAAATCCATTCCGGGCACTTTAGCTTATTTACCCCGATATCAAAGCAAATAAAAACAATGCTATCCATTTGCTGAATTTATTTAAACAAATCAATTTAGAAATATCATAAACAAAACTTCTGACATGTAAACATACTGCCATGTTCCTGAAACAGATGTTAACACCTGATCATAGTTAATAATCGCTTGTTAGGAAAGCTGTCCATTAATAAGGCCAGTCTTCAGCAAAACTAAAACCATTTTGTTTCTTTTAGCTTTCCTAGTCTGACAATGCAATACTATCAAACCACAATTAAATATAATAAAGACAACACTGGATGGCTAGATCAGTACCATTGGTTACAGCTGTTAAACGGTTCATTCTTGCTGCCACATAAAAACAATTAAGCCAATCACATCCAATATATCATGGCTTTTTTTCTTTATCACAATTCCCTAAGTGATGTTAATTATGGTCCTTGTCAAACATGTTTGGTAAAGGCTATTTACAGTGTACATGGCTGAACATGCACTATTTATAGTTACAAAGATACCTGCCAGTTTATTACAATAAAATTACACAGTGCCTGAAAATGGTGAAACATCTCACACATCATTTAAATCAATACAGTTTCAAGCAGGAAACGTTCCTTATTTGACCACAATTGCAATAATTACATGAAAATTCTTATAAAAACATGAATCCCCTTCAAGAAATTGATGCATATTCTACGCACTACAGGTTAAGGCAGTAAAAAAATGTATTCCTGATAACTGGAGGTCTTGACAATGTCAATTAAAGCTGTCTGACTCTAGTTTTTCATTCTCCATCATATACTCAAAGTTTTTGCCTGTATAACTAGTTTGTGAAAGATTTAATTTTTAAAGTCAAAAAGTATTAGTAATGAAGAAGAGTTAACGCTGGAAAAAAGCAATTGCTAGGGAAAGGAAAAATGTTACGTTGGATTTTGCCTGAAAGCTTTCAAATCATAAACAAGAGCATTGTTTGTGAGTCTGAATCCTAAAAGTATGAAACAAATACAGTTTACCTTTCTTAATTTAAAATATACTGTACTTTGAACAATTCAAGTAACATAAGACTATCAAAACTAACTTGATAAGCCATACAAGTGTCTACTGCATTTTCAATGTTTTAATTAAGAACTTTTTAAAAATTGTAAACTAAACCATGACAGTTTAGTTAAACAAACGATAAACGACTTTTTATTTGCACTTGTGATTCCTTTAATACAAATTGCTACCAACAAATATGTAAAGATATGGCAGATTATGCATATGATCAAAGCACTTTGATTTAAGCATAAAACAGACTCAAATGGTATAAGTTCCGTGCATAAGATCCAAGAAGCTGCCTGCTGATTTGTAGGCAACCCTCTTTCTAATCAAAATCCTTTATTCCTCAGCTGCAGATGAGATAGGGCACAATCTGTTGTAAACAGGGCACTGCTGTAAAACCAGGATAATATTCTTAAGATCATTCTTGTTAAATGGAAAAGACTTTCCCCAAGTGTCTTCCAGCACTGTAGTATATTCTGCTGACCTCTTAATTTCATAAATTAACTTTCCTTTGATTCCATTTTTACGGTGGTTGTGTTCACAGTTTTGTTTTAAAAATTGGCTTAAATTTATATAAAACTCTGTACATGTTCACAAATTATTGCATAAACAGCATAATCTTCAAGACAGTGTTTGCAAACACATGTCCAATTCAGGAAAAAAAATATTCACGTTTCCCGTCTGGCTTTTTTCTTCTTTTTTATTTGTTTGGGAGATTCCCAGCTAGTTTCAGACTTGGCTAAAAGGAAAAACAAAGGGGGGGGGGGAAGTTAGGAGGATACTGAATACTGTTATGTCTCAATGTAAACGTAGTATCAATGAAACATGCTTCGAAACCCACTAATAATGTCTTAAATTTTTTTTTAAACTTTTTTTTTATAATTTTTTATTTATTTTCCCCCCAAAGCCCCAGTAGATAGTTGTATGTCATAGCTGCACATCCTTCTAGTTGCTGTATGTGGGACGTGGCCTCAGCATGGCCGGAGAAGCGGTGTGTCGGTACGCGCCTGGGATCCGAACCCGGGCCACCAGTAGCGGAGCACGCACACTTAACCACTAAGCCACGGGGTCGGCCCTAATGTCTTAAATTTTATGTTTAAGTTTTTAAGTTCTAGTTCCATGTTTTTAGGTTATTCAATGTCTGCCTTCCTCCTTTCCTTTCTTTTTTTTTTTTTTGTGAGGAAGATCAGCCCTGAGCTAACATCCATGCTAATCCTCCTCTTTTTGCTGAGGAAGACCGGCTCTGAGCTAACATCTATTGCCAATCCTCCTACATCTATTGCCAATCCTCCTCCTTTTTTTTTCCCCAAAGCCCCAGTAGACAGTTGTATGTCATAGTTGCACATCCTTCTAGTTGCTGTACGTGGGATGCGGCCTCAGCATGGCTGGAGAAGCGGTGCGTTGGTGCGCGCCCCGGATCTGAACCCAGGCCACCAGCAGTGGAATGCACGCACTTAACTGCTAAGCCACGGGGCAGGCCCATTTCTTTTCAATCCCAATGTATTATTTGGTTTAACCATACGGATGATATTTCAACAGCTTTGACTTAGAAAAACCATCATTTAATATAGCTCAATCTAAGTAATAAAAGTAAAAACAGGTAAAAAGGGACACTAAAGGTAGCAGAGGGAGAAAAGGAGGGAGAAAAAGGCACAGAACAACCTGCAGTCTACTCTAAGATCAGAAGTCTAAAAATCTTAGACTTCTAAGATATTAACAGTTATAAACAGAAGAGAAAGCACACAAAAGAACCAAAAATGAGGATTACTCACTCTGTGAAGGAGGCACACTATTTTGCTTAGTACTCGACTTGGCTTTGTCTGTCTCTTGCAGCATCAGTGGCACTTGGGAAGAGCTCTTGTCAGGGTCGCTTTTGGATAAAGTAACAGATGGCTCGGTAGAAACAGCAGGTGGAAGAGTCTTGATAGGCTATTTCGGAATAAAATTATCTTAGATTTTTGTAAAAAGTTTCAAATAAAATTAAATATCATAGTAATACCAGGAGGCTGTAAGTAAATACTAAGCAAGTAAATACTAAGATGGTTCCCTGAAGAAGCCCTACAACTCAAGTCTGCCCTCTAGTGACATAACCAAATAGATGTGTGCCTACAACAGCCACAAATACAGGTTGAGATAAAAATGGATGAATTTACAAAATGTTTACTGAATCTCAAATAGGAGTGAATAATTCCATTTTCATTAACTTCTATATTTTTCTTTTCTACTACAAATTGCACGATTTTGCATTTGTTAGCGATTCAGTGGTTCTGTCCACTTCCTACCAACTCTCAATTCCTCAAACCTTTTTCATGTGAAAGACAAAAAGAAAATAGCCAATTTCAGAACTACCACTAGGGGGTACCCCCTTTTCTCCTTCTTAAGAGGTAGGGATATCTCAGACAGCAGCAATAATAGCTCCAGTTTCCTACCCAAGTAAAAATATGGCCTCAGACAAATCAGACTAGGGCTACTAGTCCTGCTGATTAGAGCAACCAGTAAGACTCAGGTCCAAATCTTCAGTTTTATCCAGTCTGGTAGTGAAATCATAATGCTTGGGGTCCAGATTCTTGAGCCTTGCTTTTCTCCTCTCCAGTTTGGGAGCAGAAAGGAGGTGAATGATCTTTTTTTTTTAATTTTTTTTTTTGTTGAGGAAGATTAGCCCTGAGCTAACATCCATCGCCAATCTTTCTCCTTTTGCTGAGGAAGATTGGCCCTGGGCTAACATCCATGCCCATCTTCCTCTACTTTATCTGGGACACCACCACAGCATGGCTTGACAGGCTGTGCGTCGGTGCACGCCCCGGATCTGAACTGGGAACCCCGGGCTGCCGTAGTGGAGCGTGCACACTTATCCACTGCACTACCGGCCAGTCCAGGAGGTGAATGATCTAATTTGCCTCACCGAGGCCTAACTATTAATGAATGGTTAGGACCAGGTAATGACAGAAACTTCAATACTTGGAGAGCCTTGAGGCTTTACTAGATGAGTAGATCATCTCACTCTTTAGCTTTACTTGTGATCGTTGGTTTGACTATAGAAACAAGGGTAAAGAACATTTCTCTTGCCCCTTGTTCTTCCAGGCTCTGTGGGTTCAAGAAAGCACAATGGTGGGCCGGCCCCATGGTGTAGTGGTTAAGTGTGCACGCTCTGCTGCTGGCAGCCTGGGTTCGGATCCCAGGCACACAACGATGCACCGCTTGTCAGGCCATGCTGTGGCAGCATCCCATATAAAGTGGAGGAAGATGGGCATAGATGTTAGCCCAGGGCCAGTCTTCCTCAGCAAAAAAGAGGAGGATTGGCATGGATGTTAGCTCAGGGCTGATCTTCCTCGGTGGGGGGAAAGAAAAAAAGAAATTGCATCCTTTTATCTCAAAATACTCTTAGGGAATTAAAAGCATCAAATCCAAATAAGAAGTATCGTTAAGATTTTGTTTTAGTACAAGGCTGTTACACCTTCCTTCTCTCAGTGGCAACTAGGTTCTTGTCTAAAGCTGTTTCATGAAACACACAAAGTACATCTGTAAGCTCCACAAAGGCAGAGATTTTTTGTCTGCTCTGTTCTCTGATGTATCCCCAGAACCTCAAAGTGTGTGGCATGTAGTAGGCTCTCAAAAACTTTTCTTGAATAATAAATGAACCATGCAACTCAAGAATTTCACATATTTCAATATGATACAATTTACCTAATTAGAAATCAGAGTTTGAAGAGCTATGGTCTTTGTGTCACTGGCCTAGATCTTTTGTAAAATGGTGCCTTCTGACAGAGCAAAAATTTCCACAGAAGACATACATTTAAGAATCTGTCACCAAATTTTAAACAAATGTTACATTTCAAGAGGTTGGACCACAGTCATATCATGTGCATGCTTTGGAGAAAATGCAACCAGCCACATTTTCTCTAAGCCATCTATCTCCTGTATGACTACAAATTTAATAGGAGAAAATACAGTCTAGTGGCTCCAGTTTTGCCACTGATAGTTATGTGACTTTGGACAAGTTATTCAACTTCTCTAACCTCATTTACATAATGGGTCCTCCCTTTCTCATGTGTTGTTGTAAGGACTAAATTATTTAGAGTATTTTAAATGCTTAGCACAGCGCTTCAACAAAATATTAATTATGAAACAATTCTCTAGTCATCAAAATTTTATTCTTTAAATATCAAAAAATTACCTGGCTATTTTTGACAAGTGCTTCAGCTGGATCACTAGTGCTTATGGTCTTCAAAGAAAAAGATTTTTCCTGTTTTGGACGGACTTTAGAGCTATTCACTGGAAGCTCTTCTCTAATCTCTTTTTCTAATTCTTCTGTATCCTACAGAGAAAAGTAGTCTATTAGATGAGATAAATCACTAATTTTTACTAAGTAAAATCTATTTGGTTTGTTGTACTAATATCTAGAAGATATTCCAAGAAAATAATTTTATTTCAGAAACTATCTAAATAGCTTAAAGGAGCATATGAAAATAATTATTTAAAGATTTATAAATAGGTACCTTTGGAACACACATTCATCATCCCTGCTTTCTGCAGAGATTTAAATCAACTGTGAATTGAAAAAACAATACACTCACATACCCAAATGTGAACCATTCTAATTTATTAAACCACTTCAAACAGAATGAACTAAATTAGTATTTTTTCTTTTAAAAAAAAGTACACAGTGACTTAGTTGATACTTTAAGGCTTTAGAAATAGCATTTCACTTAAAGACTTCCTCAAGAAATGAAATATTTATATAAGTGCATTTTCTAGACAAATTAAGCTTACATAGTAGAAAGGACAAAGACAGGAATTTCAATTTTGGCTACGCCACAGTCTAGCTGTATAATCTTAAGGACAAATCATTTAGTTTCCCTGAACTTTAGTTTTCTCAACTGTAAAATAAAGTTTGCCTAGATAATTTCTACACAAGCTTTAACATTTCCATTTTCTTAGGCCTTCAGATTTTTAAAAAGTTTCAGCAAAATAATTCTAAAGCACATTATATGCTTAGGTATATGAAATAAGTATGAACTAGAATATAGCGAATAGGACCACTACTGTGAATTGCATTGTTCTTTAGTAAACACATACACATAAATGGCTGTTCTTTTTAACAACTGGCTAAGATGATATTGTAAATTTCCTTCCAACAATGATATTCTATAAAACTTGTTCAGGATGGTAGTGGGTTTAGACAGTAATTCAAAATTTTGTTGTGAATTTAAGTTGAGCAAGTAGTTTGGAAGTATGTACGTTAAGATTTGCAATCTGTACAAAGTTCATGAGAAGACCTCAGTTAGTTCCATTCTAAATTGAACTCTAACAGTAAAGAACCCCAGAAACTACATACCAACAACTAAAAGGAACTTTACTGAAAAAAGAACAAATTCCAAAATATAATCATTTATGGATAGGACACTATGTGCTATGTACTTTACACAGAACTTCATGGATATCTCATTTAATTCTCAAAGCAACCTACGCAGTTAAGTAACTTGTAAGCCATAATTTAAGTCACAGAAATCTAGGAAAAGTTTGACTGAATGGATTTCAGATAGTATTACTAACCAAGGATAGCTGTCAATAACATTTCTCATCAGCTAGCTCAGCTAACAAGAAAAGCACACCTATTATATAATTGTAGTCTTTTTATATCCATTGATCTTAGTCATGTTAACCTTAATGGCCACCAATTACTAGTACTGAGAAAAAACTAATACTGATAAATGGATTGGTATCATTTATGAAGGGTTTCACTTCCCACAACAAAAAAGAACAGAACACGTTATTTCCTTAAAAAGTCATGCAGCAACTTCTTCCAAATAGAATAAATAGGAAAATTACTATGTAGGCTACCCTCTAGAAATTCTGGCTATCTCCTACTTAGTATCCTTTCTTCTTTTTTGGCTTCTAACAGAAGCTTTCTATCACTCCTACATTTTCCCTTTCTTTTCTTCGGTCTTTCTTATCTGGGGAGAAATTTTTAGATTATAATGTAGATGAAAACAATGATATTTTAATTTCAAACATACTAGATTATTAGAAATATGCATGGATTTATTTTTGAAAGCACTATATCACCATTATGTTACAACTTAGGAAAATCTCATTCCTTACTTACAACTGTGTGTCTAATTGTTTTCATTCTTTTAAATGTAGAATAGCCAGCCAACTCAGTCACGTGAAAGACTCCACTTGTTATAGACATGGTTTTTCTAATCGTGCTAAAATTCTAAATTGCTAAATTTCAGTTACTTGAAGGAAATTTCTGTATATGTGACATAGTGTACCTCCTTTTCCATTTCACCATAATATAAACCAAAATGCATCAGACTAATTTAGAATTTTATTTATTTACTTTTGGGTTTGCACTTTTGATATGATTTTTTTAGAGCAATAAAGTTTTTATTAGAGTACAATGTATAAAATCTTTTAAAACATTCTCTAAGTTTTCAAATGCTTCTCAAGTAAATTTGATGTCTCATATCGTGTCTTTTATCTCTACATATTCTTAGTATTTGCATATTATCTTTTCACATTCAGCAGTAGGTGCTTAGTGAATGATGTTTGTTGTTTTGATTTTCTACCTGTGCAGGAGAGTTATCTTCACCCTGCTTCTTCTTTTTCTTTTTTTTCTTTTTAGATTTCCCGGTTGGAAGAGCTCCCTCTCCCTTTTCTTTATCGTCATCTGAAACCTGATGTAAAAGCAAAAGTTATTAAAGTGAACCAACTGGTTAAGTTTTCATTATTTGGGAAATTATTATGAAATAATTTCATTAAGTCCGATCTTCATCTCCCAAATTCTAAATCAGAATTAGTAACGAGTAACAAAACTGATCTAAAATTACATACTTAAAAAATAACAAGGTACATGGAACTTCATTCTCCTGTTGTCTAAAGATAGAACACTTTTTCTTACAACTTTCATCACTCACTACAAGATCAATTAGAGAGCTATACAAACCTTGGTTTTTAAAAACTCATTGGAAAGGGAATTCTGTCTCATTTCAGAGTCTAAATGCAGAACTATTTGCATTAAAATTGAACTTGACCCTGATAAGTGAATGACAAGCCACAGAGTGGGAGAAAATATTTGCAAACCATATATCCAACAAAGGACTTCTAACTAGACTATATAAAGAACACTCAAAATTCAACAGTTAAAAAAACAAACAGTCCAATTAGAAAATATGCAAAGATATGAATAGACATTTCACGAAAGAGGATAGACAGATGGCAAAGAATCACATGGAAAGATGTTCAACATCATTAGCCATGAGGGGAATGCAAATTAAAACCACAATGGAGGGGTCGGCCTGGTGGCATAGTGGTTAAGTTCGTGGGGTTCGCAGGTTTGCATCCCGGCCGCAGACCTACTCACCACTCACCAAGCCGTGCTGTGGCGGCGTCCCATAGAAAGTGGAGGAAGATGGGCACGGATGTTAGCTCAGGGCTAATCTTCCTCACAAAAAAAACCCACCAGAAAACCAAACAAAAAAACCACAGTGAATTACCACTACACACCTATCCGAATGGCTAAAATAAAAAATAGTGACAACAGCAAATGCTGGCAAGGATACAGAGAAATTAGATCACTCATACATTGCCGGGGGAATATAAGTGATACAGCCACTCTGGAAAACAGTTTGGAGTTTCTTAAAATATTAAATATGCAACTACCATACAACCCATGGATTATACTCCTGGGCATTTATCCCAGAGAAATGAAAACTTATGTTTACACAAAAACCTTATAGTTTGTGTATACAAATGTGTATAGTTGCTTTACTCATAACAGTCCAAAATTGGAAACAACCCAGATATCCTTCAACCAGAGAATGGTGAAATAAACTAAGGTATATGCAGACCATGCACTACTCTTTTTTTTTATATTTTTATTTATGTTATTTTCCCCCAAAGCCCCAGTAGATAGTTGTATGTCATAGCTACACATTCTTCTAGTTGCTGCATGTGGGACGCAGCCTCAGCATGGCCGGAGAAGCAGTGCGTCGGTGCACGCCCGGGATCCGAACCTGGGCCGCCAGCAGCGGAGCGCACACACTTAACTGCTAAGCCACGGGGCCGGCCCTGCACTACTCTTCAGAAGTAAAAAAGAACCAACTACTGATACACATAACAATCTGGATGAACCTCTAGAGAATTATGCTGAATGAAAACAAACAGGACCACAAGGTTACATACTATATAATTCTATTCATAGAACATACTTGAAACGACAAAATTATAGAGATGAAGAACAGATGACAGGTTGCCAGAAGTTATGAAGGAGGTGGGGAAGGGAGGGAAGAAAGTGTGGCTATAAAAAAGGGCAACATGAGAGTCCTTGCAGTGATGGAAATGTTCTGTATCTTGATTGCATCAATGTCAATATCTTGGTTGTGATATTGTACTATAGTTTTCCAAAATGTTACCATTGGGGTACACTGGGTAAAGGGTACACACAGGGCATCTCTGTATTATTTCTTATAAGTGCATGTGACTCTAGAATTATCTCAAAATACAAGCCTTAATTAAAAAAATTGAATTTCAGTAGGAATGTCATTGAAAGAGGAATGTCATTTCACATGACAAAAATTGTGAATTAGGATTGTTAAATTAGTATACATGATGATATCTCTTCACACATACCATATAGTTGAATTTTCTATGGAAAAGTGCTTTTTGTCTATTCTGCACAGGTGACAGCCAAGATTCCTAGACTATCCTTATAGGAAGAGATGATCTGGATAACTGTTATTTCTCTGCTCAGCACCATACTCATTAGGATGATTTTGGAGGTTTCATGAACCACCAAACAGTTTACAGAAATTACCAGCAGATAGACAAACCAAACCAAACCAAACCAAACCAAACCAAACCAAACCAAACCAAACCAAACCAAACCCTGCACAAACCTAGCTAAGAGATTTTCAGTGCAAGTTGGCTGCTAGTTGTGGAGAAACTTCTACAGAAGTTTTCACCATAAGCTTGTAATGATTAAAATACCATATGAAAAGATGCATCCTATGAAGGAAACTCAGGTCACAAGGACTCTGGTCTGGTTCTCAGCCAATTATAATCCAACCATAAGAGAAATGTAGTTTCTCATGGCAAAACACCGTTCAAAACAAAAAACACGGGCGGGCCCGGTGGTGCAAACGGTTAAGTGTGCGCGCTCCGCTGCAGCGGTCCGGGGTCCGCCAGTTCGGATCCTGGGCGCGCACTGATGCACCGCTTGTTAAGCCATGCTATGGCAGCGTCCCATATAAGTAGAGGAAGATGGGCATGGATGTTAGCCCAGAGCGAGTCTTCCTCAGCAAAAAAGAGGAGGATTGGCATTGGATGTTAGCTCAGCGCCGGTCTTCCTCACAAAAAAACAAAACAAAAAACACTGTTTTTGTTCACGGGAAAAACTCCATACCATCTTTTAACTCATATAAAAGAACTGACATTTTGACAAATTTATTTTAGATTTTTTAACATAAAAGATATTACTGAAAAATTAAAATTCCTTTACATTCCTTCCCAATCTCATTCCCACACTACCTCCCTAGCAGTAACCATTATCATAAACTTCTTTTGTCTATCTAATCAATTTTTCTATAAATTTATGAATATCTACACACACAAAATTTACATAAATGGTATCATAGTGTATCTTTCTGTAACTTGCTCTTTTTTGTTTTTTGTGAGGAAGATCAGCCTTGAGCTAACATCCATGCCCATGTTCCTCTACTCTAGATGGGACACCGCCACAGCACGGCTTGACAAGCAGCATGTCGGGGCGCGCCCGGGATCCGAATCGGTGAACCCCAGGGCCGCCGCAGCGGAGCGCATGCACTTAACTGCTTCCACCACTGGGCTGGCCCCTGTAACTTGCTCTTCATCATTCAGTATGTTTTTAGATTTTATTCATATTGATAACATTTTTTTTTTGGTGAGGAAGATCAGCCCTGAGCTAACATCCGTGCCAATTCTCCTCTTTTTGCTGAGGAAGACCGGCTCTGAGTTAAAATCCATTGGCAATCCTCCTCCTCTTTTTTCCCCAAAGCCCCAGTAGACAGTTGTACGTCACAGTTGCACATCCTTCTAGTTGCTGTATGTGGGACGCGGCCTCAGCATGGCCAGAGAAGCGGTGCGTTGGTGCGCGCCCGGGATCCAAACCTGGGCCGCCAGTAGCGGAGCGCGTGCACTTAACCGCTGAGCCACAGGGCCGGCCCAATCCAAGGTTTTAAACATGACATTCAAGGCCTTTTAGAATCTGGTCCCTGCCTCCCTCTCCAGCCTCATTTCTGAGCACTCTTTGCTTTACATTCTGTTTTTACCTCTAGCATGCCTTTGCTAAAACTCCCGAGTGCTTCCACAATACCCAACACACTGTAACATTACTTTCATCTGTTGATACGCCAGTCTCCTTCCTCTCCTCCCTCACTAGACTGTAGGCTCCTTGAAGGCAGTAATTGTGTCTTATTTATCTTTGTTTCTCTACTAGCACAATACCTGACCCATGGTTGATGCTCAATTAATGTTTGTTGAATACTAATGGTCCTATTATTTTCAGAGCCTCTTTGACTTTTCATCCTTATTCCTATAAACAACCAGAAGCAAAGTTTGATCAGTAGCTTTACGTCTCTTGTAAATACCACTTCCATTTATTTTTCAAAGCTATCAACTTAGTTCATTATCTTCTACCCTGATTCATGTACTGGCCTCTTTAACACTTACCCCAAATAGTACAAAATAGCCTCCCAAACTGGTTTTCTTCTCTCTCTGCTATATCCAGCCTAATCTTCCTTAACCCTATTGATGATGAGATTACTCCTGGTTTAAAAGCTGCCAACCGGTTCTCATTACTTATAGAATTCCATAGAAATGTGGTAAGGTATATATCATTCCTTTCATTTATTTATGCATTTACTAAATGCCAAGCATGTTACTAGAGCTACAAAGATAACAACTTTGCGGTCCCTTTCTTTAAGGAATACAGCCTAGAAGAGGAAGATAGACCTGTAAACAATTGATCCTATCATCAACTGATTCCACACAAGTGTACTATTTACCTCTTCCCCAAAAGTGTTACCTATTTTCCTGCCTTGGTGTCTTTTTCATGATGTTCTCAATCTTGTCTGTTGCTCTCAAGCCTTCCTTAAATCTTTCTTTGGGAACCAATCTACTCTTCTCTAAATACACTAAGAGTTGGTAGGTTATTATAATTCTGATAAAAGGACAGAAACTGTGTTGTTTCCTTATCAGTGTATAATAGTGCTTTCCACATAGTAGAATCCTCAAGAATTCATGAAAAGAAACAGTGATACAGAGAAGGTATGCAGCATATAATGACTGAAGTAAATACGATCAGAATACCTCTCTGAAGCAATTATAGCACTAGATATATCTGTAATATAGAATGTAACCCTTAATAATTCTAATATAGTTGAGTGCACAGAGACATAAACATACCCACCAATCCTTTTACTCACTTTTTGATCATCAGGAACTGGTTCCTGGGACTTCAGAAGTGAAGCTCTTTCTTCATCTACCCAATTCCCCCACTCCTCTGCTGGTGCATTCCAATCAGAGCTGGGATCAGCAGAAGACAAACCATCTAAAATTTAACAGTGTAAATTAGGTATCTATCATTTCTGCCAAAAAACTAAAATGCAAAAACTAAAATTCCTTATTTTGAACTAAGCTGTAATTTTAAACTATGGTTCTTCTTTCTTCCAAGCACATTTTAAGCTAGGAAAAAACCAATAACACGATAGTAAAAACCTTTACCCAACTTCTACTGGGCACGTCATGTGGCTAATTAAATAGAATTTCTAAAAAACTCCAGAAAACTTATGAATTAACCATATAATTCCCTTCTCCCTACCTCCTTTATTAGCAGTCTCCTGAATTTGCTCTTTTCCCTGTTTATGCCTAACTTGGTGTAGGAGCTGATCATTTTTTTGCCCTAATTATTATAACATTTTGGTAATTGATATATTTTCCAGGGTATACAATTAGCCAATCTCTAACAGTAGTGCCAAAATCATGCTCCCCACCTGTCATTTTACCTATACCTCCTCCCTTCCTTATGAGCTTTTCAAGATTAGGTTCTTCTTCAAATTCACCAAGTCATGACAGAATATGTAACCTCTTCTTTTCCTCTTTTAATACTTAACCTGTATCTTAAATTTTTCAGATTATTCAATGCTACTTTTATCATTCCAAAATATGTGAGTCACTTTTAGGGCTTCTATCATCCTATTCTTAAGAATAAATTTTTATTCTAGACTTCCAAATTCCTTTCTTTCACTCTAGGAGGAACTGAATTTTACCTCCTTTGGAAAGCTATCACTGGCTTATTCTAAAAGGGAAAATCCTTCTTTGGCTTTACCGTAGTTAAATAAGCAGCCCTAAGTTAATTCTTCCCTCCTCTCTGCAGACGCCATACACTCTTCCATACATACTTCTGTCATGACTACAGTCATGTGTTGCCTAACGACGAAGATACATTCTGAAAAATGTGTCATTAGGTGACTTCGTCATTGTGCAAACATCATAGAGTGTACTTACACAAACAAACCCAGATGGTATAGCCTACTACACACCTAGGCTATGTGGTACTAATCTTATGGGACCACCACTGTATATGCAGTCCGTCATTGACGGAAACGTCGTTATGTGGCACATGACTACACTTACAGCCAGGTTTCATTTACACTGGTTTAAGATGACAGAGGTTAGGCTTTATTTCTAAAAGGTTAACAAGTCATTCTAACACTGCTTTATTGAAAAACCCAACCTTTTCCCACTAATGCCAAATGCTACTTTTATCAAATACTAAATTCCTTCATATACATGTCAGTCTGTTTGTGGAATTTCTATTCTATTACATTGATCTATGCCCGGGATAGTGCCACACATAATGTAACTAATACATTTTAGTACCTAGAACGACAAATCTTATTTTCTTTGCTATTCTTCTTTTTCCACGTGAATTCTTTTATTTTTGTTTAAAGGGGAGGTATTATGTTACATCCTCATGCAGGCTTTAAAACCTATGTTTTGGAAGAATATATAATAATTTGGGAAAATGCTCACAGAAAAAAAAAATCATAGACAAAATTGGCTATACAGTATGATCCCAAATTTATATGAGAAAGAGATAGAAGAAAATAATACATTAATAACAGATATATCTTAATAGTGGAATTACAGGAATTTCATCTTATTAAGCACTTACTATGTACCAGAACTTGAGCTAGTAGGTACCAGAGATACAAAAAGGAGTATGACATAATCCCTCCCCACATGGAGCTCATATAGTCTGTCAATTTAGGGATGGAGATAGGTAAGCACAACAGACAATTAAGTAAAGAGTGATAGCTTCTGTCACTAGGGGTGGAGAAAGGGAGAAGAGGGGCTAAACCAGTAGAGGATGGGGAGAGACTGAAAACATAAGCCAGAATTTATAGTCTAGTGCAGGAAAAACACGGAACAAGTAATTACAATTGTGAAATGTCTTACAAAAAAGAAAGTCCCCTCCTATATTTCTAAATTTACTACCATGAGCAGATATTTAGAGCCAGTATTACATAGTATTAACATAGAGGTTAAGAGCATGGAATTTAGAGTTAAATACATCAACATTTGAATATTGCTCTACCACTTAATAACTACGTGATTTTGGTCAAATTTTTTAACCTTAATGGGCTATATACCAACTTTGTAGGATTTCTGAGAGGGCTATATGAGAAACATGTAAAGCAGTTCACAGCAATGCATAAGTGCTCAATAAATGGTAGCTACTTTTTTTATGTATCACTGATGACATTAACAATAGAAAGCCAGTTTCTAAGCTATCAGGCATATACAATTAAGAATTTATTTCTCGTAATCTTCATAAATCTCTCAATAAGATACACGTGGTATGTCTTAGTGTAGAAATCATTTTTACAAGTATAAGGGGATCTAGTAGATGTCTGGAACCAACTGTTCTTCTTACACCAAGCATTCATCAACCATACTGTTAGGAGATTTTAATGCCAAAGCTGTCACTGGTTTTGCTTAAATCTCACAGATCTAAGAAACCCAGATTTGGAAAAATGTGTCCATAAGCCAGGTCTCTAAGGCCTCTTGCCAAAAAAGAAACTTTCTTCTATTAAGAAAAAAAGTTTAGGCAAGTGAATGGGCAATATACTAACATATAAACTATTTTTTTAGTAAATATGGTAGGAAGGGGGGTGAGGGATAAAAATCTAGTAAAATACTTAGTAAAATTATTTATTTTTTGTGAGGAAGATCAGCCCTGAGCTAACATCCAATGCCAATCCTCCTCTTTTTTGCTGAGGAAGATTGGCCCTGGGCTAACATCCATGCCCATCTTCCTCCACTTTACATGGGACGCCGCCACAGCACGGCTTGACAAGCGGTGCATTGGTGCATGCCCGGGATCGGAACCTGCGAACCTTCAGGCTGCCTAAGCGGAGTGTGTGCATTTAACTGCTGTGCCACCGGGCCGGCCTCTAAAATTATTTTTTTAAAGGCTTAAATGGCCATAACGTTTGGGGAATTACTGTGGTCTATGGTTTAACTTCTATAAGAACATTAACAGAAGCGTAAATCTCTATTGGCTTTATAAAGCTTTATGGTGATTTTTCAACATTTACTGATTTCAGGTTTTTAAAAAAATTTTTTAATTAACTGGGATCAAATAAAACTACTTTAAAACAACAGATCACTCTCCTAAACCTAAAAACTGTCATTAGGATACGTCTCAATGCATAATTCTTAAGATTCATGGGCCTAATGTACTAAAAAACTTCTTATAGTTTCATAGAAACTATGTAGGATAGTTTCATTAATAGTATAATTCTATTTATAAACAGAGTAATTTCTAATTTTTCAAAATTCTTCCATTAGCTTGCCAATGTCTTTTCAAAAAGCCATATTAGCTATCTTTTCAAAATGGTAAGTAATTTGTCTCTCCATTTAATTTGCTTGTGGAATAATGTTTTAGGTTTAAGTGTCTCATAGCTAGTCTCTATTTTATCTCAGGCATAAAATGGCTGTCAGCTGTTTCTTGTCAGAACTTAAGTCAACATTAACTTTAATAAAACAAAACAATTATGTTAGAAAGACATTCTCCAGTGTTTAAACAGACAATACTAATTAACCCCACTGAGTAGACTAATTTTTGCCCCTAGAAGAATACCAACAACAGTACCACACCACTTACTGAATATTTACTATGTTATTAGGCAGTGTTCTAAATGCTTTATATGTAGCATATCATTTAATCCTCTCAACAACTCTGTAGAGGAAGAACTATTACTTTTACAGATGATTAAATGGAGGCAGGGAATCATCATGTACTTGCCTAAAGGCAAAGGCAAGGAAGGTAAGATTCAAACCCAGGTAGTCTGTCCTCAAAGCTCATGCTCTTAACCAATTCACTATGCTGCAGCTAATTCATTCACTCTGGTGTGCCAACAAATGCCAACAAAAACTAAGTTCTATTCCAAATCTGAATTTTCACAGGGGTTATGATGATGTTCCTTTATGGTCAAGATAATTGACAGATTTAACATCTGCCTTTAAAAAGTGCTATATTCTATACTTTGGCATCTTAACCTTATATTCAAGTGCTTGGGCAGATTCAGTGCTTTTCTGTCAGATAATCATGTCTATGCCTCAAACCAGAGGGTCAATATATTAATGATATCACACTGCTTAAAACTGTAGAGCTAGTATAATATATATATAGTATATTTTATATATATATATATATACACACACACACATTATAAAGCGTGTGTGTATATATATATATATATATATACTTTGTGGATTAGCAGTCTCAAATACTAAATCATACATTCTATAAATTTAGAAAGAATAATTAGGGGCCGGCTCCGTGGCTTGGCGGTTAAGTGCGCGCGCTCTGATGCTGGCGGCCCGGGTTCGGATCCCGGGCACGCCCCAAGGCACCACTTCTCCGTCCAACCCGAGGCCGAGTCCCACGTACAGCAACTAGAAGGATGTGAACCTATGACATAAACTATCTACTGGGGCTTTGGGGGGAAAAAAAATGAATAAATAAAATCTTTAAAAAAAGAAAGAATAATTAAATTCACTAAGTACCAAAATTAGCCACATTAAAGATAACACAAAAAATAAAATTCATAGAGAAGATGAGGTTAAAGAGAAGCTTTGGACTTAAAAGACTGCCAATATAGCATAACAAATTTGAGAAAGATGGTGTTCCTGATAACTTATTACTTTAAGTACAGAATCCTGTGGATACATGCTTTTTTTTGGTCTTTTATTTTAGCAGCCAATCACGTTTTTCACATTACAAGAATTCTGAGATAGATTAAAGTGGAGCTATTCTACCCAAACAGGGAAGCCTAGAGACCCGTTTGCTCAGTTTCCTCAGCTTCAACCCACAGCTGCTCAAGATATCTCACTGATATTTTCTTACAATCACCTCTATTTTTCCTGTAATCACTCTTCAATTGTATTCTGCACATCGCTGATCATTCTTCCCAAAGTACAGGTAGACTATTTTTTCCAAAAATAGTGCTTTCACATCCTTATAATATCTTGGGTTTATAAGACACTTCACAATTTACAAAGAGCTTGCATGATCATTCATTTCCTCATTAAAATTTCATAACAATCTATGAAGTAGATAAGACAAATTATTTGCTCCATTTCACAGCTCAATTAATCTAGATTCCAAGATAAGTGATAAAGTCCAAGCCACATGAGGTACTATGTTTTAAAGTCAGGACTAGAACTAGCATCTACCTTCTAAACCAGTACTCCAATCCCCACCTCCCTAATCTTTAGCTAGCAATTCAAGGCTTTTCATAATATGGCCCTTCCTAATCTACCTTTCCAATCTCATCTCTCTTAATCTGAAAGAATTGTGTTTTAACTAATCTATATAGAGACTAATTAGTCTATAGAGTAATCTTTGTATCGTGTTGCAAGCTTACCTTCGTGATTACAATAATCACCAAGGCTGTACCATGTAGTGGCTAAGAGCATGAACTCTGGAGCCAGACTACCCAAGTTTGATATCACCTCTTCCACTTAACTAGCTGTCTGGCCTGAGGAAATTTAGATAGCTTTTCTTTGCCTCAGTTTCCTCATCTGGAAAGTGTAGAAAAAAATAATACCTACCTTGCAGAATTGTTATAAGCATTAAATAAGTTAATAATATGCACAAGACTCAGACCAGTGCTCGGCACATAGTCAGGTGTTTGCTTTAGCACCATTACTACTGAACAGCCGTGTGTAAAGTGCTGCACTAGGCACTGAGGATAAAAAAGAGTGCGAGTTCCTATTTTCAGAGGGTTTCAAACTCTACTTGAAGAAACAAAATATATTCTTAAAAATATTTTTTTTTACAAAGACTAAAATGGTGGAAAATTGCACAAGGTAACATATAAGTGCTAAATAAATAGTAGAAAAAGATGTGCTGTGAAAATTCTGAGAACGGAGTAAATTTTAAGGTTTGAGGTTGTGGGGAAAAAAATCTCAGATTTTTTTTTTTTTAAATGAAGATGGTATGAGCTTTCTGAACATAAAAACTATATCCTTTTTCCCTTCCCCTTTTTTATAACTCCTGCCTCTAACTTTCCAATGCTTCTACTGGAAATTAGGCTAAGAAAATGGTTTTCTTCCACTACAAAAACTTGCACACCTCACAGAGTCATTCCTGTATATTCTATTTGCTCTATTATACTAAAACTAGGAAGAGAAACAGAACATTCATTTAAAACAAAATTTTATAAACTAGAAAAACTATGGAGCAATTATAAGAAAACTTCATGTTTAAATATTGCCTCAATCATGAAACGTGAATTTAGTTTTAATTCTACAGGTATTCAATAATCAGTTTACACGTAGTACATCTGGTATTAAATTATTTTACTATGACCTAAAAGGTGAGAAATTAGAATTAAAATTAAAACATAAAGCATGAATTCAGGGTGCTAGAAAGAAAATTCTGAAGAAAAACAACAAACAAAAAACAATAACAAAAAAAACTGATAATTTTTAAAAGGACATACTTAACCCAGACCATTCATCATCGATATAGGGCTGATTACGGCTAACATCCCACTGATAATCAGAAGTGGTAGACTGAGAAACTGGCTCAGCAGTAGACCCTTAAATGAAAACGAATGCAATAAAATTAAAAATGGAATTTTCTAATGATGTTTCATAACAATACTTCTCTACTTTGCACATGGAGACTTAATTATTTTTAATTTCTCCTAAAAGGAAAAATTGAGACATTAGAAAAAGAGTTAAGATGAAGGAAAAGCAGAATTGAGGGTACTTTTAGATTAAGCTTGATAATCACTTGATCTAACTCACTTATCAGAAATATATTTTTTCCCCCTATACCAATCCATTAGATTTTGTCTTTTATAATATACACCTCAAACTGGTTACCTAAAAATTTCAAGAAGTCAAAAAAAGTTGTTTTATTTTTCTTCTTAATGGAAAATAATAAAACACAAAAGAAATCTTGGATGTTTCAGGGTATGCTTATACCCTCAGAACCCTGAAAGAGAGAACTAAAAAATGTCTGAGTTTGCTAGAACCTTCTGCCTAAGGAAAAGTTAAAGAAACACACGGATGATTATCTAGAGAGGTAAGGCAGAGAGAAGCCAAAGAGATAAGAGAGTTGTGCTGGTGGTTAAGAGACCAAGTTAAGTTCAGGTACATTTAAAGAGAAGAGAACAGGGCCGGCCCCATGGCTTAGCAGTTAAGTGCACGCGCTCTGCTACTGGCAGCCCGGGTTCGGATCCCGGGTGCGCACTGATGCACCACTTCTCCGGCCATGCTGAGGCCACGTCCCACATACAGCAACTAGAAGGATGTGCAACTATGACATACAACTATCTACTGGGGCTTTGGGAAAAAAAAGGAGGAGGACGGGCAACAGACGTTAGCTCAGGGCCGGTCTTCCTCAGCAAAAACAGGAGGATTAGCATGGATGTTAGCTCAGGGCTGATCTTCCTCACACACACAAAAAATAAATATAAATTAAAAAAAAAAAAAAAAAAAGAGAATATTATCTTCTAAGGTTTTTCTGTTTTTGTTTTCTTGGGAGCTGGTGGAGAATAGGTGGGGTGAGAGTGCGGGTCACACAGTCCTTTAGGAATCTGATGAAAGCTGTGGTGGACTACTGGCCAGAACTTACACAAAATTTTGTATATATTTTAGGGGCACACAAAGTTCCTGGACGCCAGGTCAAAAACCCTCGCTCTAGAGCCATAAATATTAGAATGTAAATGTAAAACGGTGGTTCTCCATCAGGGATATATATACCCTAGACTTTCTGAAACAGAATTCCCATATGTATCAGAGTCCTTAGGTGACTCTGCTATTTACTTTGGATTCAGAGCCACTGATATAGAGACATGATTAAACGACTTACATACAATCACTTCCTCTCATCAAAGTCCTTACTTACTAACTTAGAAATTTTCACTTGGTTATAGATGATCTTACTAGCATTCCACTAATACAACTGTTTGATACATACTCAAAATAATTATATTTTTATATAAATTTTAACAAATAGAGTAACCCTATAAAATTCATACACACACACATATATATATATATAATTAGCACATTAGCTGCTCAGGAACAGTACAGTAACACAGTTGCTATTTCTTTAGCAGCCCATGCTGCTTTCTCCGACTGTGTGAAGAGTACAGCATCTGTGTTGTACAAAGCCACCACATGAAGGAAGCATTAACTTGTACCTCTGGAACTGAAATGTAGTCTATGAGATCAGGAGTTGGCAAACTACAAACTATAGGCCAAAACCAGCCATCCCTTTTTTGTACGGCCCATGAGCCAAGAATAGTTTTTACATTTTTAAATGGTTTAAAAAAAAATTAAAAGAATAATATTTCAGAAGCAGACACACATCTGTTTATGTATTGTCTCAAGCTGCTTTCCTGCTACAATGGCAGAATTAAGTATTTGCAACAGAGACAGTATAGCCCCTAAAGCCTAAAATAATTACTATTGGGCCCTTTACAGAAAAAGTCTGCTGACCCCTGTTCTAGACTAGTGACTTCAAACACCGTGAAACTACATAATTAGAACACTGGGTCTACGAATTCCACGTGAACCAAGCATTACAAACGAAACATCTCCCACATTTATGTAATATTTGTTACGTACGTATAGCTTCTATATGATTAATAAAAGGCATATCCATTTAAGTAACGCTGAATTGATAGTTGTTTTTTAGTAATAATATATTTTCCTACCAATGGATACTCTACTTTAAAGTAGAGTTATTATCTGAGGGTCCACATAACCTGAAAGGCTTCACTATAAACTCGTGATGAATAAGAGTAAATAGAAATAAAATGTCAATTTCCAAGTAGAAGCGTGGTAGGAGTACACCAGTAATAGAAAAGTATCATGACCCTGAAAGGAAGGCCTTCCATTTGCAATTGTCTGTGTGCCAACATACTTTCAGTTATGTTAGGCCACAGAATCTTCCTATCCTTCCACTACAGAAAGGAACTAAGCCACTTGCAGATAAGAATTTAGGTCTTGCTTTCTCCCCTTTTTATTAAGGCCTCTGACACTTTATATTATATAGCTATTATTTATGTCAATAGCAGTACTTGACACTGATTATTTTTTCAAATAGCAAGTGCTAAAATTAAACAAATTTTTTTGTTAACTAAATGAAAGACTGTTTTCACATACCAGAAACAGCAGAGTTAAGTGTGAGAGATGCAAAAGAAGCAGAATTCTGTTCAGAGGTATTCATTCCCCTATCCACACTAGACCAAGCAGCTGTTAAAATAAAGAACGTCACTTGGAACCTTCAATTTGCAATGAAACTTGAAAGATATGTACAGATTTAAAACTATGATAACAATATTTAAAGATAACTTTAGAAATTAGAACCACTTAATACAGCAATAGCTACTATTTATTGAATGTCTATCATGTGCTGGTCTCTTGACAACCAACCACTTCCAATCTTTAGGGCAACCCTGCTAGGCAAAGTTTCAGAGTAGTTAAGTGACTTGCTGCCAGCCAGTAAACAGCTGAGCCATGACTGGAACTTGAGCTGATTTTCAAAGCCTAACTCTTCCCATTGGAGCAGCTATTTTATTATTTATCATAATTAAGCTATGGCTTTGGGCCAGGCACTGAACTTGGTACTTGACAATCATTTTAGCCAATCATCACAACTACTTAAATATGAGGTTCATACAGGTTAAATAACTAGCCTAATTTCCATAAAAGCTAGTATGTGTAAGAATAGGGATTCATACCAAATAGGTCTGTCTGAACTAGTCCATGTTCATTACACCATATCGTGCTATCTTCTTAATATTTTCAAGAGATTTCTTACTTATATACAAGTATGTTAAGGAACATATACATCCACGAGACCAATCACACCTGTCTCTTCTCAGCAACTCACTGCAAACCTAATTTAATATAGTTTCCTTTCAATCTCAATAAAGGTCCTAATCCAGGTAGGCAGGAACTCTAATCTGCTGCTTAATTTTACCTGTAGCAATATTAAGCAAGTACCATCTAATTTATGTCCTAATTATGAAAATGCTACATTGCTTTTATAACTAAACTGCAAATATCTCAAAAGGTCATAGTTCTTAACATTACTCAATAAAACTTGACCATTTCTTTTATTAAATGTGAAACGATGCTTTACAGCACAGAAATTTATGCTTTCTTTACTACTGAAAGTGAGGCTGGGAATTTAGGGATTGTCTCTTCTTCCAAATAAATTTAGATATTTCCACACAATTTTTGGACATTGCAGAGGGAGGAAGGGAGAACAAGCTTAAGATATTAGTAAATGATCTAGAGTTTTCTTCTTGGGGACATTAGTCAACATGAGTCTTTCTAAGCGTAAAAGAGATGGGAAAAGCAAATAACATAGGAAGAAACAGTTTTTTCTACTTAAACACTAAAAACTCTGTAGCCTCTATTCCTCCTCCAAACTAAAAGAAAGAAACTAACAAGAAATATCAGCAACAAGCACAACCGAAAAACTTGCATGTTTAATGCACAAAGAATTACAACTTACTAAAAAAAAAAAAACAGTAAGAGGCCATTAGACAAATGGGCAAAGAAAACAGACAATTCATAAAAGAAATGGAAATGATCAAGAAACTGGATAAATATTCAATGTCATTAGTGATTTTTAAAAGTTAACCATACAATTTATGTATTTCTTGTTTATCAAATTAGAAAAGATTTTTAAAAATAAGGATATCCAGCCTTGGTAAGTATAAGATACATGGCACTCACACTGATGCTGACAGTATAAATTAGAATAACTCTCTTAGAAAACACTTTGACAATATGTCATAAAGCATTGTACACATTCATATTCCCTTTAACCCAGTAATATCACTCCCAAGAATCTATCCTAAAGAAATAACCCAAAACCAAATATATTCAATGTAATGTTATTTACAATGGTTAAAAAAAAAGAAAAATATTTCTCTGATAAAACGGGAATAGTTAAGTAATTTATGGTATGCTTACATAATATATAATAGGGCCATTAAATAAAAATATTTACAAAAAGTAAGGAAAATGTTTATGTTACAATATTAAGTGGGAGATGGAAGATGAAAATGCTTATCTGATTTGGATTACGGAAAAAAAAATTATACATAGGAAAAACAAAAACCATAAAGAAATATAAAAAACAGTGGTTGTCACTGGGTGGTATGATAACAGTGAGTTTTTCCTTCTCTTTTTGCAGTTTTCCATATTAAACATGCATTTCTTTTCTATAATACACACACACACACACACACACTTGAAATTAAGTTGCTTTTAACTTGATGGTACTCAACAGAAAAAACCTTTTCAACTATTGGTCTTTATCTTCAAAAATCCAGGGGGAAAAGTTAATCACAAATAGGCATTTTGTAGACTGTAAAACAGTATATAAATGGATGCAATAAGTTGTACTTCCATTTACTATTTTTATTTAAACTCAATAGAACTGTTGAAAATAATGAAAAAGTCTACTCACACATTACGCTTATTATATCACTAAAAATACACAATTATACCAGTTAGCTACATTGATAATCAAATGAGATAAAGTATGTGAAAGCACTAAATAAAGATTAAATAATAAATGCTATTATTCACTTATTTAGTTCCCACTTTGCTCCATATGAAGGATCTGAAAGAGTTAACTATTACTATGATTTCTGTATGGCCTTACTAATTTTTCTACTCATGGATCTTTTTTCATTCCTGGAAAATTCAAAATGTACCAGATAAGCAATTTTAATGAACTTAAAATAACAGTTCTTACCAATGCCAGAAAATATTGAACGGTCACTCCAACTCCTCCCCCAGTCTTTTCCATTTGCATTAGCATCTCCAGTGTCTTGACCCCAAGCAGATGGCTCGGTTTTCCTCTTGCCTGCAGAAGTGGGTGAAACAGAGTTCCACTTCTCCTCACCTGCACTGATCTGTGAGGAAAGTTTTATAGGCTTTTCATTCCAGCCTCCTCCATTTACAGTGAGGTTTTCATTCAATCCTGAAGAAACTTAAAGAAAAGAAAATAAAGATTAAAAACTGATACATGACTCCTTGTTAAAACTGGGATATTTTCAAATTTCTATGATTGCTCGGTTTATATTTATCATTCAGTTTTTTCCCCTATTGTCCTTTAAATAGCTTGAGCTTTAAAGATAAAAATGAAGAATTTAAAAAGTGTATAACCACCATGGATGACTTTTAATTTAAAAACTATGAGTAGGTTTGAACTTAATAAATATATATATACTAAAGACGTCTTCAACAGCAGAATAACTTGCTCAAAGGAAGCACTACGGAGCCAACAGGAAAACAACACATATTCTGGTATACTTAGAATACTCACCCTCTAAGAATATGAAGACTCCTCCTTAGTTACATGCTCTTTTCTTAAATATTTACATATATATTATGTATAAGGCAGCGATTCTAAAATCTGGTTTCATATTAAAATCAACTGAAAAATATCATAAAAGTAGATACTGGCGCCTCAGCCCAGACCAATTAAAATCAGAATCTCTAGGGGTGGAGCCCAGGTATTAGTACGTATGTGTGTATATATTTGTATGCAGGTACATGTACATATGTGTATGTGTATGTCTGTGTATATACACACACACAACACTCGAGTGTGTGTGTGTATAAGTACATATTTCTTTCTATATACACGTGTGTATTGTTTTTCTAAGCTTCCTAGATGATTATAACGTGTAGCCAGGATTGAGAACCATGGGAATGAAGGAGGCTGACAGTGTTAAGAACAAGCCTGAAACGAGAAGGTGCTTTTTCATTTCTAAATTTATGTTTTACCACATCACTTTAGTTTTTAGGTAAGGTATACTACTCTACTTAATTCAATCTTCATCATAAACAAGTAAATAAACTATATTTTCTATTTGTGAATCACTGCATAATCATATATCCATTTACTGTGAAATATTTGATATGTAAGAAAGCAGTTTAAAAGATTATAGGTATTAAGGCTTTTTTCTTAATAAACAGTGGTAAAGTCTTTTACCTCATATATGCCTATATTAAACCCAAGTCTAAAAAAAATCCTTCTTTTCTCTGTTGGCTTAAATGATGAAAGCAAGAATCAAAATTGCACAAAAACTATTAGTGAAAGAATATTTTTAGATATAGGGGAGAGAGGGAAACAACTAGAACATACCAAACACTGTTAGAAGTAGGAGTGATTTTTCTTTTTATCTATTTTCCAAAATCTCTGGACTGTGATTACGTTACTTTAGCAGTTAAAAATAATTTTTAAGCCTTTTTTTTCCTTCTGTGTCATTCATGTGAGGAAAGAAACATGTATATAAATTTCTATTTTGATGGGCCTTCAATTTAAGTTACATGTAATTTCTCTCACCCTGAAGTGTAGAATCTCCTTTTCCAGACTTAAAGTTGCTAACTTGAACATTTAGATGAGAATCACCTGGTTGAAATAGAAATAAAATTTATTTAATACTAAATAGGCCACTATGTACATTAAATTAGGAGTAACATACAAATTAATTTTTACGTACTATTTATAATCATAAATTGCTCCTTCAAGTACTAAATTCTTACACTGGAAAACAGTCTTACAACATATTTCACATTTCCTTAGGAACTGAGTCCTCTAGTTACCATATTCTTAGTCAACTAAAATGCCAATAAAGAACCTGAAAAATTGCCCAAGTATATATAGTCTACTGTTCTATAATGGTTAACAAGATTCTTTTAAGTAGGAACTGGAGAACTGGGCTCTGTAATTGGATTCAACTTTGCCACCTCTCAACAATACCAGCTGCCTTTTCAACAATCCTGGAAGCAAACACATCAACTTAAGAACTTTGCCAGTATTTGGGACCAGGACTCAGGAAATATGGCAAGAGGTGAGAATACATATTATAACAAAGATGCTATTTCTCTGACACTAAAAAACATAATGATAACGATGTATCAAAAAACCAGCATGACACAGGATTGTGCTAGCAAGGAAGGCATGCACAAGACAGTGAAAAAGGGTCACCAACAGAAACTCTAAAGCACGGCTAAGATGTGACAGTGAAAATGGATAAGTAGAAGTCACTGCTGTACCAAAGCAATAAATTCTACCAAGTCATCAAGCAAAAAAGTGAAAGGTAACAAGGCTAAGAAAGCGATCTGGAAAGAAGTGGGGGCTGGGGAAGCAATTAATAAAAAGGTAAAGGAAGATAAGTCAATGCCTTGAAGCAAGTTGAACAGTATCACTCTGCAGACTGATGTTCCAGGGTAAAAATGATGGCAATGTAAAGAGCTACCAAGAAGCCATCAGTATAGGCTAGTTTGAGCATTTGAAATAGTTGGGAAGAACATTAGCTCAATAATCTTTGAAGTTCCGGTGTCTAGCTTTATCAACAACCTATGGCATTCTCAAAAAGTTGGGGTGATAAGAAATCCAGATAGAACCTGTACTACCCAGAACATGATTGTTTCAACTTGAAATGAAAGCACTCAACATGCACAAAGGTGACAAATTTCTATTTAGTATGTGTATTGTCCACTATAAGAAATGGAGATGTAAGAGAGTTGGAGCGAAGCAATACACATGACAAAAAAGAGGCAACATCATTTTCTCATGTGACTCAAGGCAGAAAGGCAATTTAAATTTAACAGGCCATTCATTAGGCAGTATGTAACAAGTAACACTGCTGGTATCAGGTAAACCAATACGTGGTCCACAATGCTCTCACGAAGAAGGGTATATCAGCACAATGACGTAAGCAGTTCAAAATAGTCAGATTTTGACGTAATGATTTCGTACATCTGATTAAAAGGAGTTGGATTTGATGTATCATTCTTATGTTCCACTAATATACCTTTATTCTTCTTGGAACCAACAGGAAATGATGCAGTTGTAAGTTGCTCGGTGGTAACTGTGATGGTATTTTCTATCCCAGGGATAGTTGAATCCAATGAACCAGAATCAGTCTGCACCTTATCACGTTTACGCTGCTGTCGTTTCTCTCTGTGACTAATTTTAGTTTCCCAGGCTCCTGACATAGCCCCAGAAAAAAAAATGTTATTCAGTAAGGGGAAGACAAAAAAAGCTGTCGTTTTGGGGGGGAAAATGGGGCAGGGGCACACAAAATATCATGATAAATTTAGATATTAAACTAAAAACCAATAGTGCTGGTTACAGTAATTCATCCTAAGACTGTATTCTAATTTCATTATGGTGTTTTAGGCAGCTGCCATTATTTATTCTGGTAATTTTTACAAAATCTGTCATCTATGGTTTAGAAAAAATATGTCACAGTGTACATCTTTTTATCTTGCTTGATAGAACTGTTATATATAATTACTAATAAATGGATTTATTAGGTGATGACAATAAATGGCTTATTCAAGAATTTTGTACACAGACTTCTAGGTATGGCATATTTAAGAACAACAGGGAAGAATCCTAAACCACACTTCTAGGAAGCAAAGACAAAACAAATGGCTTTTCAATGGCTCAAGACACTGAGCTAGGGGGCTGGCCCAATGGCGCAGTGGTTGGGTTCGCGAGTTCCGCTTCAGCGGCCTGGGGTTTGCCTGTGAGGATCCTGGGTGCGGACCTACTCACTGCTCATCAAGCCATGCTGAGGCGACATCCCACACAGAAGAGCTACCACCCTACAACTATGCTACACAACTGTGTACTGGGGTTTTGGGGAGAAAAAAGAAATAAAGAGGAAGATTGGCAACAGATGTTAGCGCAGGGCCAATCTTCCTCAAAACAAAACAAAACAAAACAAAACGCATTGAGCTAGGCCTTAAATTTCAAGGTGGTTCCCTTCAGGAAAAGCACTATTAGATCCTTAAATAATTTAGATTAAAAAGTTTCCTAACAATGCCACAGATCTGTACATTAAAATCTATACTTATGAAAAAGAAGAGCTAGATACAAGATTAAGCGAAACAAATGCAGCTTTTATATAATGCACCTTGATGAAAAAGGATTAAATTTTTCTATAGTCCTTTCACTTGCTCAAGTACCTTCATCAACTTCCTTTCCATCATGGCGTGAACTGTTTTGCACTGCTTTAGCATCTGACTTTGATTTCTTCTTATTTTTCTTTGACTGAAAGTAAAATAGAATGTTACTTAATATTTCATTATGTTTTTAAAAAGGTAGGAGTCAGTAAAATACATAATGAAATGTATGATGCTGACAATCAAAAAAATGTTTGATTAAAAAAACTTAACATATTAAATGGCAATAATAATATGATGTTACCATTTATTGAATGGTTACTATGTGCTAAAAGTACTTTACACTCATTTTCTTATTTATTCCTTAAAAAAACTCACTGGAGAAGGTATTATTCCCATTTTAGAGACGAGGAAATTGAGACTTACAGATGCTTAATAGGCTATTCTGGGTCACATTAAGTTAGTATATGGTGGAGTCAAATTAGGAAATAGGTCTATCTGGCTCCAAAGTCTGTGCCCTTAGATATCATGCTATCATAACTTACAGCATAAATAAGGTACTATAATATCGTGTTTTCAGAGCAATAAAATAAAAATCTATTGCTAGTGTTCAGAAGGAAACTTATGTACTGATTATTGGCTTTGGACTTCATAAAGCAGATTGTTGGCATAGCCTATGCATAACAAATTAATGAGTCAATTGTACAAAGTAGATAATATTTTGTCAGTTTCAAAGCACTGTGAAAATATCTAGGATTTGTATATAGTCATGTTTAATAATTTAGTAAAGAAAAAATACCTACACACATATAAGATATGGACATTTTGGAATGGCCTTCCAACTCCCTTCTGCTAATATTATTTTCTCGCTCGCTAAAAACTTCATAAAGCTATTTCTATATTTAGATAAGTGCTTCCAGAAGAGAATTAATATTCATAAAATACTAATTTTATTTATACTTTGTATTCACTCATTTAACTATTATTGAGATTGGCTATGCAAGTATTATTGTGCAGTATCTTAAAGTTAACAATTAAAAAGAGATTGTATCCTCACAGTAAGTCTTTATTATGGTTAAGTAGTAAATGACAGTTTGAGTAAGCAATAAATGACAGCTAACTGTGTTTCCTATTGATAAACTACTTGCAAATATTCTCAAGTGGCATGACCTCTTAAAGGCAATTAAAAATTATCTTTGACAATGGAAGTATATAAAAAACGATGAAAAAGTTTTTTTACATTTCCCATAGTTGATTTGCATTTATTTATTTGCATGTTCTCATTATCATTAACACATATCATGTTTAACGTACTGCTTTATTACAGCTCCTAAACCATGCTCATATCCACTAAAAAAAAAAATCAAGATATTATCTACATACCATAATATTTACCCTAAGTGTATAATTCAGTGGTTTTTAGTATATTCAAAGTTGCACAACTATCACCATTATCTAATTTCAGAACATTTTCATCATCCCAAAAGAGAAACCCAGTACCCATTAGCAGTCACTCCCCACTACCTTCTCCCACTGGCACCCGCCACTAATCTACTTTTTGTGTGTGTGTCTCTCTCTCTCATATCCAGTTTTAAGTAAAGATAACACATTGAGCAATTACAGTCCAGAGCAGGGGTCAGCAAACTTCTATAAAAGACTAAACAGTAAATATTTTAGGCTTTGCAGGCCATACGGTTCTACATATAGCAACCACACAACTCTGCCGCTGTAGCGTCAAAGTAGGCATACACAATATATAATTGAATGGGTATGACTGTGTTGCAATAAAATTTTATTTACAACACTAGGCATCTGGCTGGATTTGGGGGCTGGAGTTTGCCAACCCCCGGTCTAGAGCAGCACTGTCCAATATAAATACAATGTAAGCCACATATGTAATTTAAAACTTCCTAGCAGACATATGTTAAAAAGTTAAAATAGGTAACATTAATAACATATTTATCCCAACACATTCAATATACTACCATTTCAAAATGTAATAAATTAATCAATATTAAAAACCATTAATAAGATAGTATGAGAAAGAGTCCTAAATAGCCACATGGGGCAAGTGGCTACCATATTGTACAGTGCAGACCTATAGAAACTAATTGAAGTAGGTACCCCCACTTTACAGATAAGGAAACTGAGGCCATAAAGAGATTACATAAATTGCCTAAGATCATAGGGTTATTAAGTGGTGAAATCAGGATTAAAATCCAGTTCTGACTCCAGAGCCTGCCCTTGTAAATACTCTGATATTCTGCCTCTCTACATTTAAGTCCAAATACAAATTTTATTATGTATTAGCTATGTGATTTTGGGCTAAACCACACCAAACCCTTTCCCCAACTGACTATATGGGACAAAAACTCCTACTAACCTCACATAAGGTTCTTGTAAGGATTAAATAAGATGTGAGAGCAGATCGTTAACTACAAAGCAGGATACATGAACAAGATTTTTTAAAAGAAGGAAACTATGAAAAAAGGATAGAAATTACATTCATAATGAAATATATGTGATTTATCACTAAAATCTGCAGAAAAACAAGGAAGAATATCTTGGTTTGGGTTTCTGTCTTGATTTTACTATTACCTTTAAAACAAACTAACGAAAAAATAACGTTTACTCTGATGAGACTTAACATAATATACTATAAAAAGCTTTAAAATAAATACACATACATACTACTATTTGCCCCAGCCATCCTACTGAGGTGAACGTCTTACTTCTGAGCAGCTCTACTACGGCTAACACTTTTGAAGGAAAACTGCAAGAGAAGTTCTGGTTCCCTTGTTACCATAGTTCTTTTTCCCCCCATTTGTTGTCAGGCTCCACCACGGAGCTGAGTGAATTATTAAACTAGCTTCTCTTTAATGGTCTTCATGCAATCAAGATTTATCAAATACCTATTATGTGCCAAACACTGTTTTAGGAACTCAGAATATAGAACTGAATAAAAGTTTCTACTTATGGAAACTGCTATAATCTAATAAGAGAAACAGACATGTAAATGAGACATTAGCAGAAATTCTTATCTTCAACGGCTTCCCTCCAATGCTCACCTTCCAACATATCTACACCAGTCCAATTAATTTACAATCCCATTAAAAAAATTCCAGACATTTCCTATCATCTATAGTCTAATAACTTCCTTATATGACATATAAGGTCTTCCACAAATTAATCTCAATCTTATATTCTTTTATTCACTTAGATAATCATTGGTTCCAACAAGACTGTCACCTCTAAACATTCCTGTCTTTGCCCAAGCTACACTGTGAATTTTTCTGTCAAAATAAAGTGCTGCAGCCAGGGTGCTTAGGGTGATTTTCTTTGTACCCTGAACCATCTGCTCCCCTACTGATGTGCAAAGCCTGAAATGACTGTACTCATTAAACATTTAAAACTGCCATAAATTTGGCCATTTCTCACAACCTTCCTTGTGACATTTCCAATACTGTTTTACTGTGCAAGTGTTTATAGTTTTTCTAATGATAATATGAACTTCTTGAAAGCAAGAGAATAAGAGGCATTTCCTTATATTCTCAATAGAATCTTTATTTCACTTTATTTGAATGACTCATTATAGGCACTGATATATAAAGATGAAGAAAAAAAGAAATCTGCTCTTGAGGAGGTCTGTCTAGCAGTAGACATTAGCAGGTGCTCAGATGTAGCTCGAAGCAAACTACCCTTAACCCAAAACCTCCAACATCATTTGAAACGTTCGTCACTTAAAGCATTAGAAGTGATCCTAAACATTTGTCAAGTAAATTCTTTCCTACTGGCTTCCATTATAATTTCACATTTTGTTTTCTATTTCATACACACAATACAGATATTACAAAAATTTTAAACTATAATCATCTGATTAGAAGAAATCTGTATCAGCGCTATATCTTAAATATGTATGTATATATGTATGTATGCACGTGTGTGTGTATACACATATACACACACAAAAATAAATAACACTCCTAAGAGAGAATGGACAATGAAAACACACAGTGATACTTGGTGGCTTGGGACTTGAAATAACATTTGCACCTTGAACAGCAAATGGCTCTATTGTTTTAAATCCAGACAATGAAAAAGCTTTGATAAATAATCATTAGATCCACTATCACTACTTTTTAAAACTGCTGAAGAATATACACAAGATACAATGGATTGATAGTTCCTTAGGAAATTGTGATGCCTATTTGTGATGCCTATGAAATGAGTTTAGAGAATTCTAAATCTCATTAGGAGTTATGCAAACATGCAAATAAGCAGCACCAATACCCAGCTGGCAATCCACATATGGAATATATGGTAACTCACTTACACAGAATACCTGAGTAAGCACGCCAGGTAGAGGAGTTTGCTGTTCACTCTTAAAGCAGTGGTTAAATAAGCTTGTTGCTATACTTCTATGAGAAAAAATTGAGCATACATTCCAAAATGCTTATTTGTAAAATTTATACATACTCTACTACTGATAGTATATACATTTGTAAAAGATAACTATTTTTAGTGAGAGCAATATGATTGAATATGCTTCACTGTTTTTGAATAATCTTCTAAATTCCTTCATTTTAATACTTGGTATTAAAAACTATAGTATCTGACAAAGGTAAAGAGATCCAAATGGAGGACATACACCATGAGCCATGCTTACTAAATTATGACCCTAATTTTCCAATCTCATCCTCTAAGTATGCAAAGGTTTTTGTGGAAATTTAACTATTAAAATTTAATCTTCCTCAACATCAATCAGTTGTTTCTGCAATTGAATCTGAAGCTTCTACTTTTTTTTTTTTGGTATTTTTAACAAATGGATTCACTAAAAGGACTTAGAAAGTTTTTAAAAACTGATTTATTGCTATCACACAGCTCACTTACACAGCTCTAATTAAAGTATTTCAGTCTCAAAATAATTTTGTGGGGCAGATGCTATTATTTCCACTTTACAGATGAGAAAAGGGAGGCACAGTGATTAACCAATCCAAGATCACATAATTAGTAACTGTTGGAGCTGGGATTTGAGCCCATACCATACCACTGGGCTCCAGAATCTGGGCTGCTACACTATTTTTCTGTTAGAAAATTGCTCCCAAGCTGTTAAGTTGTGCAGATATGAGACTTCTGACAAGCAACAGA